ACAAAAACTGGAAGAAAAGCTAAGTACCCAAAACCAGAGACAAAGTTTGATATTAACTAGAAAAGGTCTCATTTCACCAAAGAACACCTGTAACATTTAGAAGGACCAGAAGTCCCCTGGGCTACCAAGCCAGAAATGGGGGAGGGCCAGGGACCTCATCCATGTCCCCCAACACCTGCAACAAGTCGCAAGGGTGGGGGCGTCAGGCCTCAGCCACACACCCCCCTGACACACACAACCACTCCAAGGACCACCACCTAGCTGCCACAGGAAATGCCCTGGGCTCTCCCAAGCTGGGGCAGTGGGGGGGCTGAGGGCCTCAGCCATACCCTCTCAACATGCATAACCAGCCCTGCAATGACCACTGAGACGCCAGAGGAAGCGCCCTGTGCTCACCCAAGCTGGGGGGTTGGGGGTCTCAGGCCTCAGCCATGTCCCCCCAACATCTGCACCCAGCCCGGCAATGACCAAGCCACCACTAGAAGCCCCCTGGTCTCCCCTGTGGGAATGAGGGGGGTGCCACAGGCCTCAGTCCCAACCTCCTCCTTCCTCCTTCTTCTATCCCATTTCCCTCCCCTTTCCCTTCTCCCCCTCCCTCCCAACTGCTCCGCAACATCATAGAATCTAAACAAATATATTAATAATAATTTTTAAAAAGATCTAATTTCTTGTGAAGAAGCATTATGTGAAATTCATCAAGCCCCTCACATAAATTTTTAATTATTCTGTTGAACTAAAGTAAAATTTTATTTTAAAAAGTATACATCTAAAACAGGCAAGGCTAAACTATAGTGCTTAAACTTTTTCATCCTCATGTGCAAATTTTTAAAAAACACAGGAAACTATTAATATAAACATGAAGATAATGATTACAAATGGCAGGAGGGAGGGGTTATGATTGATATGGAATACTAAGGGGTTTCTGGGATGGCTGGCAAAGTTGGCAGCGCTCCCGGCGAGAGTTCGGATCCCATATAGAGACTGGTCCGCTCACTGGTTGAGCGCGGTGCGGGCGTGACACCAAGGGTTGCGATCCCGTTGCCGGTCGCGGTACAGGTGCAACACTGAGGGTTGCGATCCCGTTACCGGTCACGAAAAAAGACAAAAAGGAGAAAAAAAAAAAAAGATTTTTTAAAAAGCATATATCTTAAAATTCTATTTCTGACTATATATGTATTTATCCATTCATCCTTCTATAATACATAATATATACAGAAATATATGAACTAATATTCACCTATCTAGTAACAACAATAGTTTGTGGGTGATGAAATATAGATATTCCATTTTGTCTTCTTTTCATCCTCTTTCTTAATTGCTGGACTTCCTTTATATTTCTGCTTTATTTTTAAATATTTCAGGCATACAAAAAAACAAATACAATAACATTACAAATATTGGCCACCAAGTTGAAGAGCTAATGGTATCTTGAATTTGGAGTTTATCATTCCAATGCATGTATTTATACTTTTATTACATATGTGCATATACAAAACAGTATATAAATATAGTATCATAATATATATCTTTCTACAATTTACTTTTTCATGTATCATTTTTGAGTATTATCTATATTGATCAATTTATTAATTTAAATACTATGTAGTAAACCACTTACTAAATAAACTGTTTTTCCACTAAACGAACAGTTTTTACTTTTTCATTTTATAACTAATAGTGCAATAAAAATTCTTATGCATACATGCCAGAGTTTCTCTAGGGTACATTCTTATAAGAGAAATTATAAGATCACAAGGTATACATATTATTTAGTTTAGAGATCAAATTGATAAAACTAAGTAGTTGAGCCATTTCATTCTCCTACAGTCAGTACACATGAGTTTCTGTTTTTGTCCATCACTTAGTTCTGTCACAGATTTTGCCAATCTGATGATTGAGAAGTATCATCTTGTTTAATTTCTATTTCCCTAACGACGAGTTTATCTGCTAAAAAGAAGGTGAACATCTTTTTACATGTTTTTTGAATATGTTCTTCTGTGAAGTGCCTATTCATATTCTTTATCCATTTTTTCAGTACAGTTGTTTTATCTTTTTCTCATTGAATTACAGGCTTTTTTTATGCATCCGAAGTAACTTTTTTCTCCTTAAAATCATATCAGGTTACTACAAAAAATAAGTAGAAAAATAGGAACAAAAGATATGAATCTTTCCATGAACTTTTTGAAGTACCCTTGTATTATGTTACATATTTTTAAAACTCTAAAATGATCTTTTGGGGTTTTTATTATTTGGTTTTTTGGGGGGGTTTTGGCTGGCTGGTGCAGGGATTCAAATCTATGACCTTGGTGTTTGAAGGCTGCACTCTAACCAACTGAACAAACCGACCAGTCCAGAGTTCATGGAAGGATCTGTATATCTTTTTTTTATTTGTTTTTTGTTTTGTTGGGGGTTTTTTTGGTAGCTGGCTGGTACCAGGATCCGAACCCCTGACCTTGGTGTTATAACATAGCGCTCTAACCAACGAAGCTTAAACTTACAGAAAATTTGCAGGTATTATAAAAAAAACTTTTTTCCCTAAACCATCTGTAAGTTACTTAAGTGATGCTTCATCACCCTTGAATATTTTAATGTGTATTTCCAAGAAACAAGGACATTCTCCTACCTAACCTCAACATAACCAACAAGGTCAGGAAAAAACATTAATAATGCCTATGTAACATTTAAAAAAAAAATAATAGTGATTATTCGTTTTTAAAAAATAATAAAGAATTAATGCTTAAGATTTCTGCATTAAAACACAGTATCCAGGGCCGGCCCGGTGGCGCACTGGAGAGTGCGCCGCTTGGGAGCGCGGCGGCGCTTCCGCCAAGGGTTTGGATCCCATGTGGAGACCAGTTCCCGCTCACTGGCTGAGCGCGGTGTGGGCACAACACCGAGGGTTGCGATCCCATTACCGGTCAGTAAAAAAGACAAAAAAAGAAAAAAAAAATAAAACAGAAAACACAGTATCCACTCCTCAACAGATGGTAATAAGGTGGCTTTAAAATTCTATTCTTTCGGGCCGGCCCGGTGGCACACTGGAGAGTGTGCCGCTTGGGAGCGCAGCGGCGCTCCCGCCGAGGGTTCGGATCCCAGGTGGAGACCGGTTCCGCTCACTGGCTGAGCGTGGTGCGGGCGCGACACCAAGGGTTGAGATCCCATTGCCGGTCCCCGGTATGGGCGTGACACCGTGGGTTGCGATCCCGTTACCAGTCAGTAAAAAAGACAAAAAGGAATAAAAAAAAAAAAAAAAATTCTATTCTTTCAACAAAAGAGGCATATATGAGAATTGACAGCATGTGAATAATTGCTTTCATTTTTCTCCTATTCTTGACAACACAAGGGTGAATGAGATTAAAATGCTTCTGGAAATTTCAACATTAGATCAAACTTTCTGAGAATAATTGCTGGGAAAAGCTGAGAGTAAAATCTCCTTTGGCAATTCCTTTTCAAAGATCTCCTTCTGGAATTGTCTTAATACAGACCTATTCGGAGGGTAGGGCTAACCTTTAAAAAATCTCTTTAAGTTGTAAAATTCTCTTAACTCTTTATCTAATGCAACTTACTTATGAGTTACATATATTCATATGTTATTTAAGGTCACATATAGCAAATATAAAAATAAAAAATAAATGGCTACAAATCTTTTTTTAGTATTAGTCATGGAAAAGAACTGTTATTAATTCTATATAGGTTATTTCATTTATTCTTCAGGACCACGCTGTGATGATCAGAGTGCCTTCAACAGAAAAATGGGAAGAGAAATAGTGGAGACACTAAGTATAGATGACACTTTGGGGAATTTTTCTGTAGACTGAAGAAATAAAATGGGGTAGTAGAGGGCCAGCCCGGTGGCGCACTGGATAGTGCGCCGCTTGGGAAGCGCGGCGGCGCTCCCGCCCGAGGGTTCAGATCCCACATACAGACCGGTTCCCGCTCACTGGCTGAGCGAGGCGCGGGAGCAACACCGAGGGTTGCAATCCCGTTGCCGGTCCCCGGTCCGGTACGGGGGCAACACTGAGGGTTGCGATCTGTTGCCGGACACGGAAAAAAGACAAAAGACAAAAAAAAAAAAAAAAAATGGGGTAGTAGAATTGAAGAAAGATATAGAGACAAGATAGATTTGATTGTTTTTAAGAAGAAACAGATACAATAGCACAAATGCATGTGATGGGAAATAGATGCAAAGAAGGAAAAATTGACAATGTGGGAGAGAGAAGGCATCTGCTGAAGCAATACCTTAGAATGATAGTATCTAACACAAAAGCAGAGTGTTCGGACCTTGCTGGGAGAAAGCACAGTTCCTTTACACTAATAGGAGTAAAGAAAGAACATAAGGGGAGAAACAGAGATGGAGTTGCAGTAAGTAAGTGAGAGGTGTACATAATTTGTGGTCTTTTCTATTTTCTTCTGTGGAGAAGTGTGTTATATATGTGAATGTTATCATCAGGTACGTCCTGGCAGGAAAAGGGCTGTAGACTGCTAAGGTAGGATTACTCTTCACCAACTTGAATCTACCTTCCTTTAGACTTTGCTATAGTTGCAATATTCCCAAAGGTTTTTATCAGTTTCTATCTCTACAGTTAGCCATTTTGCTCCTGAGTGCTAAAATTACCATAAGGAAAAGTCCAGAAAGATAAAGTGGAGATGGCATTTCTTAAAAAATATTTTCTGTCTCAATAAGGAGTACATGTGAGGATAAAATTTTAGTTAAAAAAATATGTTCCTTTTTTTTTTGCATCTGTTTCCTTTCAACTAAATGATGCCACAGTTTATAGATCTTTATCCAGAAGTTCTGAATATACCAATTGGCCAGTTCAAATTCACTGATTAGACAAAAATGTTATAAATAAATTCTGAAACATAATTTCTTCTCTCATTTTCTATCTACTAAAACATGAGTCATTAGATTGCTTTGAAACATGAGTGTTTCACATACTATTCAAAGAACTTCTTAGTTAAAAATAAATAAAGAAGCTAAATATAAACCACATCCATACCTCTCACAGCTGACTGGGAAGGCTGACTCAAAACTTTGATGTCTAATGCATTGTTGATATTTTCTTCTAAAGTAGTGCAATATCCATCCACGACACTGGTAATGGTATCCTTCAAAGTTCCAAGATTATAGAAAACTTGAAGAGCTGTTCCGACTTGAGTTGGATTCTTAAAGGTGGGGTGAGGTGGGGTGGAAACAGATATAAATAGGAAAACAAACAAAACCAATATTAATCTACAACTTTTAGTAGTGCTGGAACAGTTACTACCATATTTTTAAATTATCAAAGACAAGAACAAAGACAATTTGGGGTTCTTTTTGTTCGTTTGTTTGTTTTTTTTTAAAAGATGACCGGTAAGGGGATCTCAACCCTTGGCTTGGTGTTGTCAGCACCACGCTCAGCCAGTGAGCCAACCGGCCATCCCTAAATAGGATCCGAACCCCTGGCCTTGGTGTTATCAACACCGCACTCTCCCGAGTGAGCCACGGGCCGGCCCAGAACAAAGACAATTTGGAACAAATATTATTTTTAGTCATTATGTTTTTCATAAAAGACAAAGTTAAATACTATGTGTATTATTTTCCTCCCTTTCCCTTTTTCTCCTCTTTAAAGGATATATCAAGTGTAGAAGTCTGTTGTATAATATTAGTGCTTATTTAAAATTTACTACCAATCCCTGTAAGCGGAGCCATCCTGGAACTAACAACCATCCTACATTTGCTCAGAGAATAAATAAATAAACTCTGCAGAGTTGACTGAGGGCTGAGCTATGCAACTGCTACTTACTATTCATTATATTTCATCCATTCATTCATTCTAACTACAAATATTTATACATTGCCCATTGTGTATTTGTCATAGTTCTGGGTGCTAGTAATAACAGTAGTGAAACAAAACCAATTAAGTCCCTGCCCTCATGGAGCTTATATGAGGGATCTTCAAAAGGTTTGTGGAAAGATTCATATTAACTTTTAATTCTATTTTTCCATGAACTTTTTGAAGTACACTTATAGTACTGAGAAATGTACAAAACATAAATAAAACAGAGTATCATGTAGTGATAACTGCTATAGAAAACTGAAAGAGCAAAGAAGAATAGAGAATGATTGAGATTATTATTATAGAGATTGCATCTCCAACGTAATATTTCAACAGAGACCTGAATATACTGAAGGAGGGAGTCTAAGAAGGATATGGGGAAATACAGATTTGGGCAGCAAAATGTGCTGAGATAGAAATGTGCTTGGTGTGCTAGAGAAGCAGCAAGAGGGCCATGACAGCGCTGGAGAGAGTGAAGCAGAGAGAGGTAGGAGATGAGTAGTAGGCACACTATCAATGAGTAAGATGAGTCCAAAGTGATACGAATACAAGTAGATTGTTGAATTTGTGACTAAATAAATGACTAAATTTTCAAGCTAGAAGCTAGCAAACCAACATATATTTCCAGGCCCAAATAGTTGAAATTCCTCTTTCCTTTATGATTCAGCATCTGTTATTAGAGATATATGATTAAAAAGTTAAATTTAATTAACTTATTTTCTAGACTAAGTTTATAAATAAGAGAAAAGGTTACTTCTGAAATCTATGGGTTTTATCTAAAAATAATAGTGAGGACACAGTGAGAAGATGGCTATCTACAAACCAGGAAAAAGGCCCTCTTCAGAAACTGCACCCTGCCAGACTTTGATCTTGGACTTTCCAACCTCCAGAACAATGAGAAAATAAACGTCTATTGTTTAACCCACTCAGTTTGTGGTATTTTGTTATTGCAGCCAAAGCTGACTAATACAAATGTTCACATACTTATTAAATGGGTTAAATTTTAGAGGGTATAGTGAGGTGAAGAGTGTACCCCCAAAATTCATAACCAACCAAAACATCAGAATGTGACCTCATTTGGAGACAGCACCTTTGCAGATGTAATCAGTTGAGATGAGATCATACTGGATTATGGAGGGCCCTAAAGGCAGATGCCCTTATAAAAGAAGAACATACACAGAGACACACATAGTAAAAAAGGACATGTGACAACAGAGGCAGAGACTGAAAGGGTACAATTACACTCCGAGGAACACCAAAGACTGATGGGAGCCACCAGAAGCTAGGAAGAGCAAGGAAGGATTCTTTCTTCGAGCCTTCAGGGGGGCATGCCCCTTCCGAGACCTTGATTTGACTTCTTGCCTCAAGAAGAGAATACAAGAGAACACATTTCTGTTGTTTTAAGCCACACAGTTTGTGGTAACTTTTTTTGGGGGGGGCGCGGGACTGCCTGCCAGTATGGGGATCAAAAGTTTATGGTAATTTTAATGTCAGCCCTAAAAGACCAATACACAAGGTAAGGACAACAGAAAAACGACATATGCTTGCAACCCAAGTGTCCATTGATAAACAAAATGTAGTTTTTATATTCAATGGAATATTTTTCAGCCTTAAAAAGAAGGGAAATTCTGGCATAAGCTACAACATGGTAAAAGCTTGAGGACACTGTGCCAAGTGAAATAACTCACTAACAAAAAGACAAATACTGTATGATTCCACTTATATGAAATATCTAGAATAGTCAGATTAGGAGAGACAGAAAGTAAAACGGAGGTTGACAGGGGCTAGAGAAATGGGATAATAGGGAGTTGTTTATTGGGAATAGAGCTCCCAACACCAGTACACAAAAGTTCTAATTTCTCCACATCCTTGACAATAATTTTTTTTTTTGATAGTGGCCATTCAAATGGGTGGAGGTGATATCTCACTGTGATTTTGATTTGCATTTCCTGATGATTAGTAATGTTGACCATCTTTTCACATGCTTATTGGCCTTTTTTGTTCTGTGGCTGGCCCCTATAGGGATCCAAACCATTGACCTTGGTGTTATCAACAGCACACTCTAACCAACTGAGCAAACCAGCCAGCCCCATTTGTACATCTTTGCAGAAAAGTCTATTCAAGTACTTTGCCCATTTTTTTTAATCAGGTTATTTGTTTTTCTATTGTTGAGTTGTAGGAGTTCTTTATGTATTGTGGATATTAACCCTTTATCAGATATGTGATTTGCAAATATTTTCTCTTGTTCTATAGCTTGCCTTTTTATCCTGTTGATTGCTTCTTTTGATGTGCAGTAGTTTACAATTTTGATATAGTCCCATTTGTCTATTTTTGCTTTTGTTGCCTGTACTTTTGGTGTCATATCCAAGAAATCACTGCCAAATCCAATCTCATGAAGCTCTTCCTTCATGTTTTCTAATAGGACTTTTATAGTTTCAGGTCTTACATTTAGGTCTTTAATCTATTTTGGGTTTTAAATGCAAGGTAAGGGTCCAACTTCACTCTTCTGTATGTATAAGAAGACTGCATCTTTGTTTTTGAAACCTGCATTTTTAAAACAAGCATCCCAAGTGGTTTATATGCACCAAAGCTTAAGAACTACTATTTACATCATCCCTGAAAAGCCAAATCAATAAACCCAATCTTCCTCAGCAATGCCACTTTGGACACTTACCTCCATGGCTTTAGACCTGGCTTTCTAAAGCCAAGTGTTTCCTGCACAGAATACAAAAGTATATGACCTTATTTACAGTCTTAAAAATAATAGTTTCTCTGGTGCAATCATCTAGTAAGCCCCTATTATGAACCAGACACTATTTTAGGTGCTTTACATATATGATGCCTAATCTTCCCCAACAAAATTTTCAAGGTAGTTGTTATTATTTCCTAGTTAAAGATAGGGAAAATGAGGCATAGGGAGGTTAAGAGACAGTCCAAAGAAACAAAGAATACATGGGACAGCAGGGATTCAAGTATATTTAATTTTAAAGTTGATGCTTTTTCCAAATAACCATTAATATTGATTAAGGAAAAGACTTTGATCAGTAAAATAAAGTTAAAAAGAGAATGACCATTGAATAATATCTTTTTATTTTGCTAAATAAGGATACTTTTTAAGAAAACCTCACTATCTACTATCATTAATTTATAAAAGAAAGGATATTTAAATACCAAAAAAAAAAAAAATTAGAGGAAAATCTTCAGAATCAAAGACATTCTTTAAATGGCATGAATATTGCTTTATGAAAAAAATCACTACTTATTTTTAATTTTACTGAAAACTCATGAAACCTCAGTATGACTGCTACCAATCTACAGGTCACTGCTGGGAAGCCAGTACTGTAATTATGTTATCTTTCTGTACAAATAAACAGGTTAGCCCAATCTTGCTGAAAGACACCTGCACACCACACATTATCCTAAAGTTTAAAGCCCCCATAAAAACTGTCCATAAAAAAACTCCTTCTTTCCTAGTACTCTAGATCATTCTATTCTCTTTGGAGCTTGATGGTTTTTAAATCAGCAGTAAACAGTTAATCAACTTCTTGCCTCACTTACCTGGCTCTTCACACTCTACTGCAAATCACAACTTTAGCATAGATTTGATCAGTAAAATCATAAATTGTCCTTAATAGAATCCTCTTTCTCATCTCACAAGTAATCCTGACAAATACAATGTGAGAAATTCAATTCACTGCTCATCTTGAACTGCCTGTTTTGTGTATTTATTTTTCAGTGTTCCAGGATCAGTTCTAGGACTTCTACTCTGTTTCCTTACATCCTCTCTCTTTATAATACCCCCTCTTGGGCCGGCCCGGTGGCACACTGCTACAGTGCGCCGCTTGGGAGCGCAGCGGCGTTCCCGCCGAGGGTTCAGATCCCACATATAGACCGGTTCCCGCTCACTGGCTGAGCGAGGTGCGGACGCAACACCGAGGGTTGCGATCCCATTGCCGGTCCCGGTCCGGTACGGGCGCGACACTGAGGGTTGCGATCCGTTGCCGGACACGAAAAAAGACAAAAAGGAAAAAAAAAATTAGATATTCAATATTTTTAAGAACAATTTTTTACAAATTGTGAGTGACTTTCAACAAATCATACTTATATAAAAATTTCCCAACTTCAAAAATTACAATATAAAATTTGATAAAACACCATGTAATAGAGTAGAAAGAATAATTTTTTAAGTAGAAAAATTAATAGACTTAGAAAAATTACATAGACTTCTACCTCCTCAAAAGCATTTCATAGGGCTGACCA